ATCGCCTCAAACGAAAGAGAGGAAGCTAGCCTTATATTTCTTAAGAGCAGAGGAAATCTCACAGCTTTCCAAGGTCCCAAAAGAAAACAGGAGAAAGCTCAGTTAAGCTTCCCCTTGCTTGGGAAAAAATTATGCCTCGTCTCCTGCCCTACTTTGCTTTCTGTTGCTGTGAAAAAACACCATGACTCAAAGCAACTTTGGGCAGAATGGGTTTATTTGGCTTACATGTTACATTTCATCATTGAGGGAAACCAGGTCAAGAGTTCAAGGCAGGAGCTTGAAGCAGAGAGAGGGACCACAGAAGAACTCTAGTTACTGGCTTGCTTCCCCTAGCTATTCAGCTACTTTTCTTATACAACCCAGGATCATCTGCCTAGGGATGATACTGCCCACAGTGGGCTAGGCCATCCTCCATCAACTGACAATTAAGAAAATGCCTCTTAGACACGATCACAGGCCAGCCTCATCTGGGATATTCTTCAGTGAAGCTTCCTTCCTAGACCCAGGTGACTCTAGTTTGTGTCATGTTGATAAAGCTATCTCTTTTTCCATTCATTAATTAGTCTTCAAGCAGAAACACTCTGGAGCTACCTTTTCCCATGCCCCACAGAAGCCTGCATCAGCCCACACTGAACTTGAACATGAAAATCAACGCTGTGATTCATAGAGAGATGTGTTAGTTACTTTCCTTCTTGCTGTGACAAAATACCAGAGAAAAGCAACATAAGAAAAGAAAGGTTTATTTTGGCTCACAGTTTGAGGATGCAGTCCATCAAGGCTACAGGAACATGAGGTGCCTGGGTCACAGCGAATGCCCATAGTTAGGAACATGAGGTGCCTGGGTCACAGCGAATGCCCATAGTTAGGAAGTAGAGAGGGCTGAATATGCATATTCAAGTAGCTTTTTCTTTTTTGCCTTTTTCTTTAGTTGGGATTATAGCCCATGGGATGGTGCTACCCACGTTCTGGTCTCTCCTCAGTGAAACATCCCTGGGAAAGCATTCACAAAGATACCCAGAGAGATGTGCCCTGGGTGATTTCAAGTCCAGCTAAATTGAAAATGACAATTAACCATCACGATAACCATCACATGTGATTTAGAAGATTCGGATTTGGAGCAGAATGATCCCTAGGTTATAATCTCAACCACAGAGATATTTTCTTTGTTTTCTGGGCCTATCAGCCATGAGGTAGACAACTGAGGTGGAGTCTCATCCTGACATTTTCCCTTGTTTGTCTCAGTGCTCTGCCTGAGATTTTTGAGTAAGGTATAAGAGCTGTTGTTGGAAAGGAGAAAGCAGGGAAGCTCCCCGAAAAGGCTGAGGCACTGGATTAGACAACCACAACTCCATGTGCAATTCTGAATGCTCTTCCTGGCTCAGCCAAGCAGCCATCTTCAGATGGTTCGGCTGAGCAGAGATGCAGACCAAAAGAGAAAGAAGCAGCTCTCCCTCAGCCAGCTGTCTTGGGCCAACATCACTGGAAACAGCACCTGACACAAAGAATAGAAGGGGCATTATTTATTGAGGTAGAGGTCTCAGGAGAAGGAAGGAAGCTGATAATAAGCAGGGAAGAGGGAGCTAAGTCAGGGTATGATTTGAGGAAAGTCTGACCTCAGCCTGGCCTCATAGGAAGCTCTGAGAGTGAATTGCAGAGGCACAAAAAGAACTGGACTGTTCCACAACCTTGTTAGCCTGTCACTGGCTATAGCTGCCATTGCCAGTGGTGGATGTCATGCCCAGGCATTTCTAGGCTAGAGCAGTTTCCATTAGCCCAGAATAATTCTGCAGAGAAAAGAGGAGTGGGCCCAATGAATAACACTTGAGCAGGTGCACAGTTCTTGTCTTGGGGTTTTAGTCAGACACCAAACACAACTGCAACAGCAACCAAAAGGTGGGAAATGCAGACACAATATCTAAGGAAACATATCTCATCTGCGTCCTATTTTGTCTTGCCCTTTCTTTCCCGGCATGGCACACATACTTCAAGACGAGGCACTAAGGAGACATTTGACTGGATTGGACCCCAAGACAAATCTGGAAGGGAGCTTAGAGGCCCCTCAGTTCAGTCCGTGCACTTTGTGAAAAACAAGAGAGAGATGAGACAAGAGTAATTTCTTACCCAGGCCAGCTCTGATCTCCTAGGTTCCAGCTTTTGCTTGAATTCAGTCCAACTCAGATTTAGTGAGTGCCTTCTATGTAGAAAACAAAGTTTAAAGCACCGGGCAGAGAAATGAAAGACACAAAATTCAGCCTCTCTCTTGAGCCTTAGAAATAAAGTCTGATGAAAGATAGGGAATGGAAGAAACAGGACATGGACTATGCAAATCAAAGTTCAGAATTTATTCTGAGAACAGTGTAGATGAAGTATGTGGATGTTTGAAGTCAAAAGGGGACAGGAGGGTGCCTTGTGTCTGTCTCAATGCCCCAAATGTGTCTGCATTTCAAACCATAATGAAAGAAAACATTAAAACTATGAAGAATATGAGCTACAAAAACCATCCTGGGGAGTTATAACAAAAAAGGAAGGGCATGGAGTTGGGAGGGAGATGGGGTGGAGAGCACTAGCAGGATCTGGGGAAACGTGGTAGTTGGTGAATATTATCAAAATACATTCATTGTATAAGCATGAAATTTTCAAAGAAGAAATAAATATTATTTAAAGCGATCAACCAGAAAAAAAGAATTCTGTAGCTTTTCTACTGGGGGGAGATGGGGAAGATAAATAAATGCACAAGTAGATTCTGTGAAAAGGAAAGAAAGAAAACAAAATAGGCCATCCCATTAAAAAATGCCATTTTACCGTAAAACGTACTCCGTTCTGAGCACAGAAGGGCAAACCACTGAAATTTTTACGCATTAAACAAGATTGTCTTGAAGCTAAAGGCCAAAGATCCTGCATACTTTGGGGAAATGTGGAATGTAGTCCAGCCTCCCTTTTGAGCTCTGCCATGTTTATAGTCTCTCTCTCTCTCTCTCTCTCTCTCTCTCTCTCTCTCTCTCTCTCTCCCCCCTTTGTGGTGCTGGGGATTGAACTTGAAACCAGGAACTTGTACACACCAGGCAAGTACTCTACCACTGAGCTACATCCCCAGCCCTAGAACTTCATTTTTCTCCACTGAAACTGTTTATTAGTTAAACACTAGTTCCATACTTCAGTCCCTTCTCCCTCATTCCCATCTCCCAACCACTGAACAGCTACCATTCTATCGTTATCTCAATGGATTTGGTTCTTCAGATGTCCAAGTCTGTTTTCTAGTACTATAAATAAATACCTGAGGCTAGCTAATTATTTATAAAGGAAAGAGGTTTCTTTTGGCTCGTAGTCCTGGAAACAAGGAAATCCAAAAATATGGCCTGGTGCTGATCCATTCGACACCACGTTGTGAGAGGGACAGACAACAGAACTGACTTGCTTTGTTTCATTTTTGTAGATAGAGACTCCTATAGACCCCAGGCTGGCCCTGAGCTCCTAATCTTAATGCCTCAACTCCCCAAGTGCTGGGATGACAGTATATATTGCCATGTCAGCTTTAAACTGGCTTTTATAACAGATCCACTCTCAAAATAATCCATAAAGCTGCCAGCCTACAAATCCATTTATTAAGGTAGAGCTCTATGACCTAACCTGTCTTGTAGGTGCCACCTGGTTCCGCCTCTGTTTTCCAGATTTGTTAAATATTTGTTAAATTATGCACATGTGTAAATGCCCTTGTGTTGGGTGTGTGCATGTGACTGTAGTGCCCTTAGAGGCCAAAGGCATTGCTCTCCCAGAGCTGGAGCTACAGGTGTTTGTGGGCTGCTGAACTTGGGTTCTTGGATCTAAACTGGGGTCCCCTGGAAGAGAAGTGAACTCAATAGCTGAGCCATCTCTCCAGCCCTGAGTTCTGCCTCTTAGTATCTCACGATGGCAGCTAAATTTCCATGTGAGTTTTGATGGAGACATCAGTGGGCTCACATCAACATCTGTCCTTTTGTGTCTGACTTATTTTCTCCAGCATTATATCTTCAGGATCCATCCAGGTTATAACACGTTTCAGAGTTCTGTCTCTTTTTAGGGCTGACTGTCCCCATGAAATTTAGCACCACATATTAAATCTGTTGTATACTGTGGGTCTGTGGCGAATCAGAAACTTTTGTGATATACGACTTTTTTTTATTTTTTAAAAATATTTTATTTTTTTATGTATATGAGTATATTTCCTGCATGTATATAAATGTACCTGTGTCCTGCAATGCCCATGGAGGTCAGAAGAGGGTATCAGATTCCCTGGAACTGGAGTTACAAACAGTTATTAACTGCCATGTGGGTGCTGGGAACTGAACTTGGGTCCTCTTTAAGAGCAGCCTGTGCTCTTAACTGCTGAGCCATCTCTCCAGCCCACATATGATTTATTTTTGAGATTTTAATTTTTTTACTTATATGTGTATGTGTACCTGTTTGTGGGCATATACACACTAATATAGAGCCCTTGGAGGGAAAAAGATGGTGTCAGATTCCCTGGAGCTGGAATTACAGGTTTTTGTGAGCTGCCAGACATGGGTTCTGGGAACTAAACTCTACTCCTTTGCAAGAACAGTATGCACAGATAGCAGAGGTGCTGAGCTCTCTCTCTAGTTTCTCAATATATGATTTTTCTACCTTAAGGGCCAGTTCCATCCATTTGAGACAGTATCCCCTGATCCCTACAACTGAGCATGCTTGCATTATCAGGAAGGCTGGGGACCTGTCTGCCTTGTTCCCTAAGCTGTGGTCAGCTTATCAGCATGATACCTAGCACCCAGGAAGCATTTGATGATCTTAGTAGAGTGTTTCCCAGCATCCCCCCCACTCATTCCTTCCTTTTTTATTCCCTATTATTAAAAATTGCTCTTCAAGTAATTACAAGTGCATTCTGACATTCGGCACATCCTGTTGTCCAATCACGCACCTCGCAAGGTCATTTCTCTTAACTGTATCACCATTCTCAACTGGCCTGTATCTGTCTGTTTTCTTCACAGAAGTGAAAGATTACGAGCCTCCATTTGGTTCCAAGGTGAGGGAGCACCCCTGCGTGGAAAGCATGAAGGACAACGTACTAAGAGATCGAGGACGACCCGAAATTCCAAGCTTCTGGCTCAACCACCAGGTAAGGAGTGCTGGCTTTGAAGGGTCAGACGAGTCATGCAGAGGAGCCTCGTGGGTAGGAGAAAATTCTGGGAGATGGGGCTTAACTCAAGTCAGATCCTTTTGTTAACTGGTACCCTGTTAAGATTTTATTCATAGAGAAAATTTCAATTTCAGGGACTGACTCTGTTGTGAATGACTCCTACTGAGGCTCATCAGCTTTAGAGGGAATTATTTAGCAGTTGGGAGTAAGCTAGGCTGTCAGGTAGCTGGTGTGCAGGGATCAGCTGGTTGTGCATGCAGAGCTTGGGGAGGGGGTAAGATGGGGAGCTGCATGAGCATGATGGGGAAGAGGAGTTCACCACTATGGAGGGCAGGAACAACATGCCAGTGAAGGAGCTGGACGCCTGCCTGTTGAGCAACAGCCTCACGGTTCCCTGCCATTTCCTTTCCAAGAACCTGAGGTTAAGGCTACCCATAGCAGTGCTGGGGCCTTTACGTATAGGCAGACAGTCCAGATGCTTTGCCTTGGTGGCCACTTGGAAGGGGCAGAGGAAAGAAAAGATAGGTAGTGAGTATCAATTGGCCACGTGTTGACATACCCAGGAAAGAGCCTTCAGCGTGCCCCCGTCTCTCTGGCAAAGTGGTTCTTTTTCAATGAGCAAAACCCTTTATAGCTTCAGGGGGATGAATTTCCTCATCCTGGAAGGCTGTGGCTGTCCTAGTTTTTTCTAAAAGGCAGGGCAAATCCAGACAAGAACCAGAAGCAGCAAGTAAGGCACAATCAGGAAGACAAATGGTTCAGGATGCCTGCTCAGAGCCAGCCTGGCCCAGAGCCAGCCCAGTGATCAGGGTGCCGGTGAACCAGGCTTCTCAGGGTCAAGGGCTGCTCCAGGGCCTCAGACAAATTGTCTTTAAGTCCATCAATGCAAGGCTGCTTGTATAAACTCAGAAATCAGACGGTGCTAGAGTTCTGTGTTCCATTCAGACTCCATCACCATCTCTCCCATGAAGTCCTTGTAATGAAGCTATTATTCATGATGATAAAATCTGCAAAGAATTTGCATAATACATTTTTTTCTCTTAATGAGATTTGTTGCCCTATTGATTTCAAGTTAATGCTTAATATTTAATTTAATTTACTGCCTGTAATTACAGTGTCAGAATAAAATAAATGTTTCTTGTGTAGCAACAACAACACTCTACTCTTAACAGGGCCATCAATCAATACCATCAATTAGGTGAATTATGCAATTAATTCAACATGAAGAACTCACGAGTGGGGAGGGAGAGAGAGACTCCCAGGTATTGGGAAAGTTGTTGGTTATTGGCAGTCAATTGCCAATTCTCCATGAAGATTGTTAGACGTATCTGTTCCACCTGGACACCTGTGTGAAGATCACCAGGGGCACTTTGATCTCTAAATGGAAGGAGCTCATTTTATGACCACCTATCGGACCATTTACTTAGCCTCTGATTTTCAGAAGAACTTAAAATGGTAACAAAAAGATTTTCAATAAGATGCAATGAGATCAAGTCAGTAAAAGAATATGCTTGTGACTCCTTTGGACAGCCTTTCCTGGGTGAGATAGGGGTCATGGGATAGGGAAAGCCCTCTGCTTGCAAAGCAGCTACTGAATCATTCTATGAAATGTGGACTTTACGAAGTAAACCCAGGTTAATGCCTGCTATGCTCTGGGCTGGAGAATGCAGGCCTGTTAAAATCGAACAGTGCCTATGATCTAGCCATGTGACGTTTTAGAAAAAAATAGAACTCCAGAGTCTGGCACAAGTAGGGAGAAAACTGGAGTCATTCAGATACTGTAATGATAGGTGTGTACCATCTCATATTTGTTACAATCTATAAAACCAAGACTGAGCTCTAGGCTCTGGAGAGATGACACAGTCAGTAAAGGACTTGCCACACTAGCATAAGGACCTAAGTTTGGATCCCCAGCTAGGTGGGTCGTGTGCACCTATAAAATTGGCACAAGGGAGGAGGAGACAAAATGGTTCTTGGGGATCATTGGCCAGCTAATCTGGACAAATCAGTGAGCTCAAGTTTTAATGAGAAAAAAATAATGTCTCAAAAAATAAGGTAAAGGGGCTGAAGAGGTGGCTTAGCAGTTAAGAGTACTGGCTACTGTTGCAGAAGACTCAGGTCCAGTTCCCAGCACCCCCATGGCAGCTAGTAACCTCCCTCTTCTGGCTTCTTTGGGGATGGCATGGTTGTGGTACACATACATGCATGCAGGCAAAACACTCCTACACATAAAATAAAAATAAATAAATGAAATTCAAAAAACTAAGGTGAAGACTTCAACCTCTGGCCTCCACTTGTATGTACATGTACATGTGCACACACATAGACACACATGGACATGTACACATACATATCTCTCTCTCTCTCTCTCTCTCACACACACACACACACACACACACATACACAGAGTGAATCCTAATCTGAACTGCAGACTTTGATAGTATATCCATGTTAATTTTATGGAGACCACACACTGACTATACCCTTGGATCAATCTCTCTCTTTCTCTCTCTCTCTCTCTCTCTCTCTCTCTCTCTCTCTCTCTCTCTCTCTCTCTGCAGGGCATCCAGAACGTATGCGAGACACTGACCGAGTGCTGGGACCATGACCCAGAGGCCCGCCTCACAGCCCAGTGTGTGGCAGAGCGCTTCAGTGAGCTAGAGCACCTGGACAGGCTTTCTGGGAGGACCTGCTCTGAAGAGAAGATTCCAGAAGATGGCTCGCTGAACACTACCAAATAGCTCTTCTTGGCAGCCTGGGCCAAGCCTACAGAGGCCGCCCTCTCACCAAAGAGCAGAGGCAGCAGAATGATGCCCTGATGGATGCTTCCAGAAGATCAGGGACCTGCTTCTTCCCTGTCAGCTGCCTGATGTTCAGAAACAGCATCAGCAACAGGGAATGAGGGGCAGAGAGCATTCTGTGCCTTTGATGTCATGGGATAAGCTGCGTCAGCACTTCCTCAGGAAATGAGATTGATTTTTTTACAACAGCCAATAACATTTGCACTTTATTAATGCCTGTATATAAATATGGAATAGCTATGTTTTATATATATCTATATATGTCTATATCTATATCTATAGCCATACTCTGCAAAGAGACAAGAAAAAAAGATCAACTATTCCCAAGAAATCGGTTTTTATTGGACAGCTGCAGAACCGAGAGGAGAAGGGACACCCGACAGCATTAGCACTTGACAATCATACGTGTGACAGTTCCCTATCGATGAGGTAGGGCACCCTTGCTTGAGGGGAAAGACCCATGCCTTCCAAGCCTGCTTTGGCCAAGATGTACAGGGCGCTAAGTTCCAGCCCACTACTGTGCCCCGGGGGTTCTCGTGTGCTACTGTTTCTCTTGATTTTGTGTCTAATCCTCAAGCCCCACATCTGAAACTTCTCCCTCAACCTAGAAACTTGGTCCTGTCTTTTACTTCCAAAGACTTCAGAAAATCAAAAAGGATAACTTCTTCATCCATGAAATTATCCCCCCATCTACTAATGAAGTTGGGCTCTTTAGAATTTCTCCTCTACCTACATTGCTATTATTCATTCCCAGCCTTCATCCTTTTTTTACAGTGACACCGCCAGCCCCAGCTCCTGGGCTTCATTGTGTTGAATTTTGTGTCACACTCCTGCTGGAGCCTCCAGCTTGCCTTGACAACACCAGTGGGTTGAACTTTTGTTTCACTTGGTCAGCAGTGTTTGAAAAAGTTGAGCTGCTTTGTAAATATTTGGAGGTGTTGCAGACAAATCTAGGTTCCAGTTAAGAGGAGACTCCCTCTAAGCAGCCTCACTTACAACGGGAAGGCTGGGACTTGCTTACGAAGCTGCTGCATTTCCCACTATCAGCATCTGGCTTTCCCACTCCCCATGTCTACCCAAGTCTGGAAATAAAACCAAGCCCCAGGCACAATCCCCTGCAAGAAATCTGCCTTCATGAGGTTGTGGAGATAGCTCAGTCAGTAAACTGTTTGCCTTGTAAGCAAGCAGAGCTGAGTTCAATCCCCCAGAACCCACCAAAATAAGCTGGATGTGGCACACGCTTGTAATCGCAACAGCTGGGAGATGAACACAGGCAGATCCCTGCAACTCACTGGCTAGCCAGTGTTGTCTGATTGGCCAGGCCAGTTCCATGTCTGTAAGAGACTCCTGTCTTAAAAAATAAGGTGAAAAGCCTCCTGAAGAACAGTACTGGACATTGACCTCTGGCCTCCACACACACCTGCATCCACACGTGCATCACACACACACTAAAAATATACATTCATGCCATCTTTCTCTGGTTCTGAATTGCACTTGTCTATGTAGTCTGGTATTTGGATTTGAAGCTGACTATTCATTGGACCTCAGGAGCCCTCCTGTATGTGGTCCTGGTTGAACCAAGTCTCTTTTGCTTACACATTAAGAGTTCCCTCTGCAAGGAGGACTCTTTTAAGAAGCTTTCCTCATGGCTATCAGTCTCTGCACAGTCCCAACCTTTGCAGAAATTACTAGTGAGGATTGGAATGGGGTCACAGAAGATTCCCATGTACAGTCAGGAAATGTGTGTCCACTTGGACAAGAGCAAAAAAAAAAAGAGCTTTAATAGGAATCTTGTTAACCTATGAACAGCTGTGGATGTTACAAGTAACAGTCTCTTTTTAAAAATGTTTTTGAAGCTACTTATTTTCAGCCAAATACGAATATGAGCGAGTGACCAGTAGGGAGCACGTAGCTCTGTTTGGATTGTGGGAAGCCTCATTTACTGAGGTTTTTAGGATACACACTCAAGTTGGAGGTGGAAAAACTTGTTCACTTCCTGCATCTTGGAAACCCCAAAGATCCTACTTGCACCTTAGGACTTGCTGGTGGCATCCCAATAGCTGTTGCTCAGCGCCCTCTAGTGGTAAATTTATAGATTACTGGTCCACTAACGGGGATTTCTGGGGTTCAAATGTTTTCACTTCCAGGTCATTATCAGCATAAACTGGAACGCAGTATCATGATACTGTGGCTTGTTTTGTTTATGTCATTATTACTTTTTCTTATTCAAGAAAAGACCAAGGAATAACATTTCTGTAGTTCCTAAAAATACTGACTTTTGTTCACTACTATGCATAAATGGAAAGTTTTATTCTTTTATGGAACACTTCAGCCATACTCATGTATTAAAATAGGAATGTGAACTCGCAATACTCTTTTTATATAAAAAAATCTCAAGCACTTATTTTCATTCTATTCATTGTTTGTCTTTTATATAAATAAGAATGTTTATTAGATTAAATAAAACAAAAGTCCTCAGGCGATCTTGTCTCCTGTTGCTTTACTTGGTAACTAAACCCATTTGACACACTGGATTATATCACAGCATGGAAGAAAATATTGCCAACTAATCCTCTGTGACTTTTCCACATCGACTGTTTCTTGATGGTGTTGCATGAACTTTTACTGGGCAGACACAAACAGATCCACTCACCACAGATAGGGCACCACTGACAGAGCAAAGAATCCCACCAGAGTCCAGCTTGACACACCAATAAGTTTATTGCATTGACTTACACAGCATGGGTGAAGGGTAACTTACAGGAGTGTGGGTGGCCCCAAGGCACCACACCATCAATCAACAGCATGGATGGTTACTTCCCCATAGCTGCAGAGATGGAGTCTCCCCTGCAGTTAACCTTCCACCCTTTATCACCTCCCAAGACCATGACATCAATTGCATTTGGGTCAGAGTTACATACAGCTGGGTAGGAGCTATAGAAAGGAGAGGCAAGAATCCCATGAGGGTCCCGTGTCCATCGCCAGACCCCCCTTCTATGAGAAAGTTCAGCCTGCCTGATCTTGAGGTTCTTTTGCAAGTAGTCACAGCTGCCTGATGTGGATGGTGGTGGCTGTTACTGTCAAAGGACAGTGTTCTACAACAGTCTCGGGTCCCTTTAAAACAATGCAGGGCTGGGGAGATGCCTCAGTTACCCAAGCATGAAGAAATTAGTTTGATCCCCAGAACGCAGGTAGAAAAGCCAGATGTGATGTTGCTCACTTGTAATCCCAGCACTGGGGAGGCAGAGACAGGAGGATCCCTGGGGCTCAAACCTACCCTCAGTCAGCCTACTCCACTTGATGAGTTGGTGAGTCCCAGGTCCTAGTGAAAAGGCCCTGTCTCAACAAAAAGATGGATAGCCAACTCCTGAGGTTGACCTCTGGCCTCCATACCCACGTGTATGTAGGCGCTTCCCTTTATTCCTATACACACAAATATGCACACACACACACACACACACACACACACAATCCATAACAGAGGGTCACTAATATGAGATGAAGCAGCGCCCATTCCTTATCCCTGAGTCCTGGCATGGTGTGCCTGCGTGACATTTCCTCTCCCCATCCCAAGAATTGCTTTGGTCCACGTGGCTATTTCTTCTAGGACTGTCACAGTAAAGACTGCTTCAGAGAGAGTGCTCCTGATGCGTGTTCTCCTTCCTCTTACTAGCAGGCTTTTGGCACTAACATGCTGGTTACCACCCGTATGAGGAGAGCTTCATTCCAGTCATGGGCAGTCCACTGATGCTTTGTACTGACTTATCTCCATGGCAAGATGAATTAAATGTGCTTTAGGCAGTTGACACCAGGTCAATGTTTGAGGGTTTCCTCCTGGGCGAGCAGATGATATATTCTGCCTGAATTTCAAACTCCTTGTCTGGGAATCTGAACAGATTTAGGTACCTTCTAAGTTTGCAAATGGGCTCTGAATTGTTAAGTTCCTCAATAGCTCCAGCAGTAGTGTGAACCTTGGATACTGCTGACATTTTTGTGTCAGTGAGACATTGTTAGGAAAGGGATGCGGCCTTTGACATCATAGGATGCTTGGTGAAGTCCTGACCCTCTACACACTAGATGCCAGTAACAGTCATCTTCCACATCTGTGACAACAAAAAGTGTCCCCAAATATCCCCTGAGGAACAGAAATCCTTGCAGTTCAGAATACTAAGTGAGATTCAGTGACACTGCTGTGCCTATTGTGTGCTCACATTTTAACTTGTAGCAATTCAGTGGTTACTAACTTAATGGTTATGTTTTTCTTTGACTACCAACTGTGAGGTGGAGCCAGAGAACCTCCCTATGCCTAGATTAATGATATGCTAAAAGGGATTCTATAACCTCATCATATGCCAGGTATACCCACATGATGCGCATGTTACACACAAGGCTTTACATTTGTATCTTGAACTTGGATAGCCTTGCATACATCTTGACTGATATTAAATTGTTGCTTCTTCACAAAAGCAGGTTTATATAGAAATCATAGAGAACACCAATAACACCATGGCAAATAGTCACATGATACAGGCCAGGGACAGGAAAGGGTCTGCCTCTGTGAGTATCAATATTCTAATGGGAACGTTCACTCACTGACCATTAGACTCAATCCTCTACCAGCCTCAGGAAGCAGGGAGGATGCCCATTTCACAGGGGAGGAATTAGACTCACAAAGCATAGGCTCACAAGGTACAATCAGGGGTAAAGCCAAGTTATCCAGGAACTGGAATTTGGAACAACTGAAGTGCTTGTGTTTCTTCTCTGCTACACATGCTTCTGAAAGAACTGCTCAATGGGACAAAAGGCCACACCATGAGGGGGCGTCCTGTACTCCATCCACACGGCCCGCCCTCCTCTCATCTCCATCCACACGACCCGCCCTCCTCTCATCTCCATCCACATGGCCCACCCTCCTCTCATCACCATCCACACAGTCCTCTCTCCTCTCATCTCCATCCACACAGCCTGCCTCCTCTCATCTTTCTCCCCATGGTCCTGTTTGCTCCATGAGAGCCAAGAAGATACTCTTCCCTCCCCTTTGCTTAATTTTTCCTATACACGCCTACCAAGTTCTGTGGAAATACTTGTTGAGAGACCGTGGAAGATAAGTGGATGAGTCTGGATCACCTTTCTTCCTGTGTGTGAGCTGTGTGGTGGAGCCTGAGAGTTTCACAAAATGCCAACCTTCAAGAAAATGCTTTTAGCAAATCTTTTTTTATTTCAGCATGGATTAGAAAGAAAAATTGTAACATGAAAAGCCTGGACTTTCATAAATATTGTTACTTGAACGATGGATGAGTGAAAAATTAATTTGATTTTTAAAGGTCATTAAGTAAGTACTTATTTGTGGCAATTGCAGGAGATGTGAGCATGAAAGATGAAAATGGGTGAACTCTACCCAAAGAAGCTGGTTCATGCTGACCAATTTCTGTCTTAGTTTATTTGTTCATTGCTGTGACAAAACAGTCTGACCACTACCAACTTGGGGAGGAAAGGCTTTATTTGTCTTATATCTCCCAGGTCACAGTTCGTCAGGGAGCCCAAGGTAGGAACTCAGGGCAGGAACCTGGAAGCAGGAGCTGGAGCACAGGCCATGGAGGAATGCTGCTTACTGGCTTGCTCTTCACAAAAGGTGATTTAGAAGATTCAAATGCATTTATCTCCATAATTGTTTCAAATAGTCTACACCATGAGTTTTCGGTGCTCTCCATGCTACCTGAAGACACTGAGTTTGAGAGCCTGCTCCAAGACCATTAAAGAAATTCATCCTTTCAATTCCATTTCTTTAGAATCAGTTCTGGTACCACAATCTGTATTAGTCAGGGTTCTCCAAAGAAACAGAGCCACTGGTAGAATGAATATATACGTATAAGGATTTATCAGCTCAGCTGCACCACATTGGAGAGGCTGAGACTCCATAATCGCTCAATCCATGAGGCTAGATGTCTCAGTAGTCCCAATCTGGTGCTGAAAGTCTGATGAATTCTGAAAGATCGGCTAGTCTTCAGTCTACAGCAGCGAGACGAACTCACCAGCGAGAAAGAAAGCAAACAGCAAAAAGCAAAATCATTCTCCTCTGCCATGGCCTTTTATACGGGCTGCCATCAGAAGGTAACACCCATATTTAGGGTGTGTCTTCCAGCTTCAGATGATCCAATTAAGAAGATCTCTCTCATTTCAGTTAATCCCAGATCCAGTCAAATTGTCACCCAGGATTAGCCATCACACATGTCAATCGCTGACTCATCCCTCAGCCTACCAGCACTGGCTAAGCACCATGCATTAAACTTCATCAGAAAGCTATGAGATAGTCTTGCCTCCATACTGTGCATGAAGAAACTGAGGCAGAGGGTCTCACAGCTGGCAAGTGTTAGCACCACTTTACTGTGGAAACTGAGGCTCCCTTTTTGAGTTCTTATCTCATTAAAAAGAGCATTTAAGAACAGGTTCAGAAGGAAATTTTGAGGAAAATTTTATGAGAGTTTGAAAAAAAAAAATAACAGTACAGCAAAGTTGAAAATCCTGCACCTTCCAGGAGGAAGGGAGATAAAGAAAAGGGCATTCCTTTTAAAGTGGCCATGGAGGTCAGAGAAAAAGTAGGAAAGCCCAGAGAGTCAGGGAAAGCATGCTTAGGAACATGGAGCTATACATCTGCGTTCAGCGGGCACCTAGTTCTTGCATCAGGTACACATGATTAGAAATAGTGGTAAAGATGGCTTACATAAAAAGAAGGGCTGGAGACATGGCTCAGCAGTTAAAAGCACTGGCTGTTTTTACAGAGGACCCAGGTTGGAGTCCCAGCACCCACGTGGCAGATAACACCCAGCTGTAACTCCAGTTCCAGGGGATCCAATGCCTTCTGATCTCTGGGAGCATTGCATGACCTGGCACACTTACACACATGCAGGAAATACACTCGTACACATAAAGCAAAAATAATAAATCAAATGTTTTTTAAAAAGAGAGACCAAGAATGGAAGTGGCTGAGGAAAGAGCCCCCCTCCAAAAAAAAAAAAAAAAACATTGACCACCGAACATACAGTCCTTCATAGGACTTTTGTAGTCCTGACCTTCCTCATTTGTATTTGTGCCCTTACCCCACCCTCGCATGCACACGCTGTGTTCCTTAGCTGAAGCCCAGGTAAAGGAGGGCTCCTAGTCTTGCTCTGCAAACTGGCTTCTTGCATATGTTAACGTTGATCCTTCAGTTCAGTTCCTATTCTCCTGCCATAACAGAATTAGAATGTGAACAGACGCCTGAACCAACACTACCTACCTTCAACACGAGAGAGGCTAAAATTAGAGGCAACAGCACAGAGCCTCTGAGGGATCAAGGGTCTGAGTCATTAGCTGTGCTACTTTGCTGGTTGCTGGGACCAAATACCTGACAAGAAGAGAGAAAGGATTTCTTTTGGCTTACAGTTCAGGGGGATACAGCCCATCATGGTAGGAAAGACATGGAAACAGGACTGTGAGGCAAC